GGGTCAGGCCCTGGATGTGTTCTTCTCAACTAAAAGTTTAAGCTAATAGTGTGACAAGAACAAGATTCTGAAAGTGTTGTCAATTATCTTTTGCAGACAAGAACAAGATTCTGACCTGGAGGGAGCGGGTTCACATTGTGGTTGGAACAGCAGAAGGTATAGCCTTTCTCCATGGAGGAACCTCAATCAGAATCATCCACAGGGACATCAAGAGCAGCAATGTCCTTTTGGATGAAAACCTGTCGGCTAAGATTGCTGATTTTGGGCTTGCACGCTGTTTTGCGCCTGATAAAACTCATCTCAGCACTGGCATTGCCGGGACACTGTAAGATTTTTTAAAAAAAAAAATCAGACAAAATTGATAGCATTGAATCTAAACTGATCATTTAACCTGTGTTTCAACGTTAATGCAGAGGATATATGGCTCCGGAATACCTTGTCCGAGGACAGCTCACAGAGAAGGCTGATGTCTATAGCTTCGGTGTGCTTGTTCTTGAGATGGTATCTGGTAGGAAAAGCAATGCCTTTGCAGATGACTCTGGCTCGCTACTGCAAACAGTATGTTCCAAATTTCTATCTACATTCTCATTGACAACGAGTCAACGAGCAATCTTTCTACGCATTACAGGATATTGTTCTTCAAGATTCGACTAATTTATGTTTTGGATTCAGGTATGGAGGCTTTACAGAACTGATCGGTCCTTTGAAATAGTAGACCCTTCTCTCGAAGGCGATTTTAATGCAAATGAGGCATCTAAAGTGGTTCAGGTTGGGCTACTATGCTGCCAGGCAATTCCTGCTTTAAGACCATCCATGTCTGAAGTTGTGGAGATGCTAACAATCGAAGATCGCGAAATCCCTGAACCAACACAGCCCCCCTTCATCAACTCCAGCGTACTGGCAGGCGGCTCCATGAGTAGCATCAAATCGTTGGTATCAAACGCGCTGAACAAACAGGACGGGTCTTCCTACACTTCCACCACAGACCAATCCTCTAGCATGCAGAGTACTTCTGATGGACTTAGAAGCGAGGAGTTTCGACATCATTAGGGTTCAAAGTCCTGCATTCTACACTCGATCTCGCTGGCCATTTTGATGGAAAGCCTTTGTCGTTTCCCTGGATAGGATAGAAAGACCAAACTCATAACGCAGAAAATGTGAAAGAAATACAGGCCTTGTGAAGAGTTCTCAGTGTGATTCCTATGTATAAAAGCTTTAACAGAAAGAAAGATTGTGAAATTTTTTGTATAGATTACCATTACAGCAACTAGACTGAGACAGTCAGACAGATATTTTCTTTTTCAGATTGTTTTACTAAAATTGTTAAAGGTTTTTTATTTATTAAAAAAAAAAAAGAAACCATTATTAGATAACAACTTGGAGTGGTTACTTTAAACAATGATTAACCCACAACATGTAAATGCATGATCTAAAGCTGGTCAAAGCAGAACATTCTTAAATCTTAACCCCTCCATTCTTTCAACTTTTTTGAAAACAAAATATCGGAGTTGTTAGTTAGTTGTATTAAATAAGGTTGTAAAATAGAAAGCGAAATAACAAGAACATCATAGAGCCATATAGGGCATTACCTCTCTTACTGTGCGGGAAAGCTTACATGATGGAGAGACGAGACTCACATACATGGGCTTTCAAAAGTGAACATTGACAGAAAACTGAGAAAAGTATTCAGCGAGGCGCCATCATATATATGTTTCAATCTTCTATAATTGGCACTATCCTCTATGAGATCTTTCAGACATGCACAGTTAGGATTTGCATTTCAGAATTTAGTAGTTCTAGAACCCCATAAATCTCAGCTGATGCAGTGTGAGAACCATCCAGGGAATAAAATAAATGTCGTTGATTTCTAACCTCTATCCAACTAAATCCTCCACTTTTCTTCAATCCTTTGTCCTGCATTGATTTTCTCGTGTTCAGAACATCCATCCATCTACCTGCTGAAGCGTAGACGTTTGACAGCAGAACATAGCCTCCAGACTTCTTTTCTGCAGATTCTGAGAGCTTTCTGGACACCCTTTCTGCCATTATCTCATTTCCATATGTTCTGCAACCACTTAATAGAGCAGCCCACGTGTTAGCCTCAGGTTCGTAGGGAATGCTCGAGATGAACTTTTCTGCTTCTAAAAGGCGTCCTGACCGAGAAAGCATATCCACCACACAAGTGTAGTGTCTTTCATTTGGCTTTACACCATATACCTTTTGCATTGAGTTGAAATGATAGAGTCCTTTATCAACTAGACCACAATGGGAACAAGCAAATAAAACCGCTAAAAGTATGTGCTCATTAGGCGAGAAGGATGTAGTTTGTTCCATCTGTTCAAAGAGAGCAAGAGATTCCATTGCAAAGCCATTTTCTGCAAGACCCTGAATCATAGCTGTCCAAGTAATCACGTTCTTCTCAGGCATTCTTTCGAAAATTTCCCGAGAGCTTTCAATGCTTCCAGACTTTGCATACATATCCAAAAGTGCTGTATCCACAAATATATCATACTGGAAACCAAGTTTTATGACTTTACCATGTAAGTTCTCGCCTTTCTCTAATGAGGCTAAGTTAGCGCATGCACATAAAACAATGGAGAAAGTAGACTTACTGGGTTGTTCTCCTGACAAGATCATTTCATTGAATACTCCAAACAGCTTATCAAATTCTTCACCTCCCAGATAACCAGTCATCAGAGAGTTCCAGGAGACGTTGTTTTTCTTGGGAATCTGGTCAAACAGTTCCCAGGCTTCTTCGAGGTAGCCATTCAAACTATAGCCAGCAACTATAGAATTCCAACAAACAATGTTCTTCTCCACGATCGAATCAAAAGCTAGACATCCATCCTCAATATGTCCACATTTGCAATACAAGTCAACCAGCGAGCTACCAATGAAAGGGTTTGTTTCAGATCCAAGTTTCAGAACAAATGCGTGGATGGTCCTTCCTGCTTGCAAAGCCTTCAGGCTTGCCAGTGAACTGAGTGCAGTTGAAAAGCATGAAATATTTGGGTTGAACCCATCTTTGACCATCTGATGGAAGAGATTGACTGCCTCTTCTAAATAACCACTACGGTTGTACCTTGAGATCATTGCACTCCAAGAAACTTCATTTCTCTCGGGCATCTGATCAAAGATCCTACGAGCTTCCTTCAAGTCCCCCTCCCCAAAATACATGTCGAGAATTGCTGTCCAAGAAACAACGTCTTTTATCTCCATCCTATCAAAGGTTCTTTTAGCCAGATCACCCTCGCCCAACCGAACATTAAATGTAATCAAAGCATTAGAAACTGCCAAGTGATCCTCAAAGCCAACCTTAACAACCAAACCCAGCAGACACATTCCCAGTTCAAAATCACCCAACTCTCCACAGGCTCTAAGTACAGAAGTAAAAGTAACATCATTAGGCATCACTCCAGATTGAAGCATCTTTTGGAGGAGCATGATGGCATCAAAGCTCAATCCATTTTGAACAAGCCCACTGATTGTTGCAGTCCAAGAAACAACATTTTGAAATGGGTTTCTCTCAAAGTACCACAATGCCTCTTCAACCCTCCCGTACCGTAAGAGGCCCGAAACCAAAGCAGTCCAAGAAACTTCATTTCTCTCGGGCATTTTATCAAACAATTGACGAGCTTCATCTGGCTTCCCCCAGTTGATATTCGCAGAAATTAAACAATTACTGACAACCAAATTAAACCCATCGAACTCCTTCAGCATTTCATTAGCTTCAGCAGATTTTCTAAGACTTAAGTACATAACAAGCAGTTTAACGGCAACGTATCGCTGCGACGAAAACCCCGTTTTGATCAAATGTCCATGGAGGAGAGTTCCGGGAATAGCTAATTTTCCGTTTGAGAATTCATTCAGAAGTGTAAGGCTCTTGCTAATGTAGGATTTGTGTTTTCTTGGGTCGATGGCGTAGAGAGGCTTTAGAACACTTCTCATGCTGACAGGAAGCGTTATGTTAGTTGGCGAAACCGGTCTAGCGTCTGCTCGAAGGATTTCACAATTGCAAATTATGAGGGTTTACAATCTATATAATTTATTAACGGAAACTATATAATTTGGATCATAATTCATTATATGCGCCATAAACCATTTTTTATTAACTAAAAGTATATAATTTGGATCATAATTCACAATATGCATGATAAACTATAATTATAAAAAAAGTTTAAGGTGTATTTCTCGTGATATTCTTAATTTCCTCATCTTCTTTTTAATTATCAGAATTTTTTTTAATTGGAATTTTGAATCCCTTTAGTAACCAAGGGGCTCTCATGATTGCCGGGATATTAATTCTCCGGTTCAGATCGATCACCAAAATCATGGAAATTAGCCTCTCAGATTCAAGAGAAGAAAATCAGGATGGAAATTCAAACTATGATTAAACTTCCTATACATTGTCATCATATTTTCATCTTAAAATGAAAATTATGTTTTCTTATTTTGGAGGATTTTGACTTCTAAGAATACTTAGCGAACAGGTGAAGGGAAAAAGTGGGGAGCGTGTGAAATACTCGGTAACTTTTATATCCTTGAAGATCACGGTTAGGAAACGAATAGCTTAATTGGGTAAAAAATTAAAAACTTAAATATTTAATTAGATTCAATCAATAGTCGATAACCAAGTGAATTTCGCTATAGTCGAAGACTCAAGGGACCATTTTAGGTATTAACTCATTGAAATTAGAAGCGAGATTGTAGTCAAAATTTTGAAAATGAAATTGGTTCTTCGCAAAAGTCGAGTGTAACATAGGCTTTCTGATATGAGAACGATAAAATTGAGAACAACATTGAACAAGGCGCTAACTCCATCCATCGGCCGCCGTCCATGGTGGTCTCTCCCGGGGCTGCAATTTGGTCTAGATTGAAAAGATGTCCTTTTTAGTCTTTTTACATTTATCAGCTTATCAAAAAGCTAATTTTACCAAACACTTTCAATCATAACAGCTAGCTTAACATCTCTTCAATTTTCAGCTCCGAACTTATAATTTTTCATATTTCAGATCCTTTTCAGCTATCAGCTCCTAGCTTATAGTTTTTCAGCTAGGTTTGCCAAACAGAGCCACTGTGTATGCCGGTATGCCCTTCATCCATCAATAAATGCAATTAAACAACAAAAACAGAGAAACATGATAAGGAAATAATGAAGCAAGTTAGCAGCTTACCTCAGCTTAAAATGTTACTGAATCTGTAATTGAGCACAGAAACTCCCTCTTGCCATGATGATACAGGCAAAACCCACCAGCTTCCCAGAATTCCAACAACGGTGAACTTCTGATCAGTTAGCTCCACTTTAGCCAAACAGAAAATTGCATAATCTTCAACATCAACTTTATTTGCATGCAATGACTGCAAGGTAAAGCATAAATATTTATATTCATCAAGAGGGCACTTCTAGGGAGGTGGGAGATTTTAGCATAAAACAATAAAACCAAACACCATTTGATCAGATTATGTCCCAAATCATATGTGGAACTCACCTTGAATTTATAGATGAATGGATGTTTTTGGATTTCTTGATTTCGCAACTGAAAAAATAGACATGTCAAACCCATAAATATTTACAATCAACTCTGGAATAGTATGTTAATGCACTGGACTGCTGGATATGTGCTATATGTATTCACAAATATTGAAAATTGATGGTAGAGGGCATTTGTAAAAAGTAACAAGAGTAATGCTGTGCCTGTACTAAGTCAAAGGAAACCTAAAATTCACAACACACCATAACAGACGCAGATAGATTCTTACCTCTTCAACAAAGAGGTAAATTGAGAGAGGGCTGGGCTTCGTCGTGTAAAGAATAAGAGTTACTTTCGCTGCAATGATCAGTGGATGACCCCAATTCAGAAAAATAGTTAACGCTAGGAAAATTGGAACCAGCAATTTCTTTAGAAAGACCAAGAAAGTCTGGTAGTCGTTCTTGGACTTGGTATTTGCCAGCAAGCCCAAGTGATCATCATCCAACAAAGCATCAAAGCCTACAACATATAAACAAAGAGGAAACGATTTGACACAATCGAGGAATTTGCAGCAACCTTGAGGCTAAATGGATATAGACAGTAGTGCAATTTTGTCTGAAACATCTCCAAGACGATGACTTTAAGTTAATCACTTACCACCCACAGCATACGCAGTGCGTGGCCATATGCTAACTGATCCAAGCAATGCTGACAAACCAACCGCATTGCACATAGTGAAATTACCTCCTAAAAGAACAAGTAACAGCATTTCAATAGATGTTCAGGCTTTCTCGAACATCAAATAAACCACGAATGTCACAAGAGTGAGGCAAATAAAATGAGTGGCACATGCTGAAGTGCATATGTATTAAACCTGCAGTTTCTCGAGCATCGAATAAACCATGAAGCACTGGCATTGAATAATTCAGTAACTAATACAATTTTTTTACTTTAAACTCGTGAAATTTAAATGCTCAAACTGTTAGGAATTCGTAGTGCGTTGTTAAACCTAACCCGGATTCTTTAATTTCGAGAACTGCTGATGAAATTTTCGAACATCAAATCGATTTTGGAACTTTGATATCGAACTGTACACTTGAGGCTTTAGGTTGTTCACCCATGTATTTATTGAAGGCTCAAACCTTCCAACATCTGCCAGTAAAAAAATGTTGAATTAACCGAAATGCACGAAACTTGATACTGTTATATGCGAATGAGGAACTGAGAAAATGAGAAGGGGACTTACATAGAGCTCTAGACTGCGAGTAAACAGAGCTGACATTAACAGAGGAAAGAGAAGCCCTAGTTGTAATCAAGCGTAGAAATCTAACCGCATACATCGTTATGAATCTCTATGCCTCGTCACTGATCAGCTCGTCGGCATTTTCCATGAACAAAACCTCTGAACTTTGAGCTCGCTACGCCGGTTGTTCCCGGAAGCGGTATCGAATATCAGTTGCATAAACTAAGCAGAAAGTACTCGCTCCGAATTCCCTTCCGCCGCAGCAAGGCAGTTGTGTCGCCGTCGTTCTGATTTCTAATGTCGGACCACGGCGCCGCCATAATAGAGGCCGTTCTGAGAAATGGATATCCACGTACGTCGTCGTATTATTCATATTTTCTTATTCTCGTATTTCATATTTTCATCTGTATTGCTATTGGGCTTACCCCATATATTTTACAAAGCGGTCTGCCCAACCCATTAAAAGAATAGAGTCCAATTGGGCTCACACATAATTCGGGTTAAACATTTTGGTGGCAAATTATGTTGTGCAACCGTGTGCACCATGAATGGTGTATACGGTTGCAAAAACGGCGTCGTTTTACTTTTTAAAAAATATATATTTTCGATTGCCGTTAGTTATGTAAACATATGTTCATAATTTTATAATTTCACATTCTGAATGTATAGTTATAAAGTTATGGATGTGTAGTTATACAATTCTGAATGTATAGTTATGAAGTTATAATTTCACATAATGTATAGTTATGAAGTTATGGATGTGTAGTTATGCAATTCTGAATGTATAGTTATGCAATTCTGAATGTATAGTTATGGATGTGTAGTTATGCAATTCTGAATGTATAGTTATGGATGTGTAGTTATGCAATTCTGAATGTATAGTTATGAAGTTATGGATGTATAGTTCAAATTATGCACAACATAACGCCGTTAACGACAATCAAAACTGATTTTTTTTTTTTAAGTCGAACGTCAAAACGACGTCGTTTTTGCAACAGTGTGCACCATGCATGGTGCACACGGTTGCACAGCATAACGCTCCCATTTTGGTTCATATAATAGGTTCGAAATATAGTAGCAAATTATTATGTGTATTATGGTTCACACAGTACTATGTGTACCATAAAAAAATACATTTTTAATATACTAAAAGTACATTATTTATGTACTGAATGTACATTATACAAAATAATATACTTTTAGTACTCAAATAATATATTTTTCCTAAATACAAGATACATTTTTAATATACTAACATTACTGGAAATTATGGAATTTTCGAACACCTGAAAGTGATCTTAAATCAAGTTGATACCAAAAAGTGGCCGGAAATAGCAACAAAGGTTTTTCCGGATACCAAAAGTGGTCGGAACAAGGCTTTCGACTTGATTTAAGATCACTTTCAGGTGGTCGGAAATTCCATAATTTCCAGTAGTGTAAAAGTATATTATTTGTGTACTGAATTTACATCATTTGATAGTATACAAAATAATATATTTTTAAATAATGTACTCTTTATTAGTTGTGTGGATCATGATCCATACAATAATGATCGGAATATAGTAGCATTTTCAGAATAATTTTACTCAAACTTTGCTAATGAATTTTATCCCAAACTGATATAATGTTGGTAATAATTAAACTCGTAATATTTTAGTATTATAATCTTACTTCATCTACTTAATCATCCTATTTGAGACATTATTATGATATAATCTTGGAAAATATGGTGGGTAGTCTTAACAAGACATATGAATACATATTCGTGATGCAGAAGATCATCCCCACATTCCATTTGATCTTCTAATAATTATAGCAACCTACCCAACAAACCACTATTATTACTTGCCTTGAGTTGGTACTTTGTTTTCTTAAAACAGAACCAAATATAGTCCTCTGAAAGATGGCAAGACAACAAACAAACTCTTGTTGGTTGTCCCACAACTTTCATCTGTGCAACCTGCAATAGGATTAAGTTTTTTTTTTTTTTTTTTTTTTTTTTGAAAAGGAAATTTTTACGTATTTAAATTACTTTAAGTAGAGGAGTGTTCCAATTTTATTATTTTTTTAAATAGAGAAATAGAGAGTGGAAAATAATGAAACAATATAATGAAAACAAATTAAACGGTGAATATATAAGATAAATGTATAAGGATTACAATAAAAGAAAATATATTAAAATTATAATACAAAAAGTAACATGTGAGTATAATACTATAATGTGTAATATATATTCTCGTACAGCTAATCACATTTAGCTACTATGCAAAATCTGATCCATGACCTCTAAGGCTCTAACATAACAACACAAGTACTAATCACTCAAGATACTCAAGATCTTATGTATTAAAGGGCAGGAACCTCCACTTATGCATGAGAAGTGCATTGAAAGTAAAATAGTGGGGGACACGTGTGTGACCAAGAATGAACCCGATGCCGTACACTTCTCAACCATCACTGAGTTATCCCTTCCCTTAGAAATATCCCTTGGTTCAATAACGCCCCCTGGTCTAGTGACTTGTGTTCCTAATTTTCAACCCATACATTAAAGTTTGATTATTTTATTCCCGATTTATGATAGACCTAGAGTGTGTTTAGTTCGCACATAAGCATCGGAATCGGAATCGGAATGGGTATCAAATACTTGGTAATAGTAATGAGTTTTGGTGAAAGTATTTAATATGTTTGGTAATAGGGTGGAATGGGAATGGTTACTAATAGTAGTGCTTGAGAATGAATAAGGGAATGAAACCCTTATTGAATTTAGGTATGGGTTTTTCAATTGATGAGGTATTCGAAACCCATAATAGTGTTCTAAAAACCTATCAACCAAACAACAACAATCACTTTCATACCCATTCCTATGGACAAAATCCACCAACCAAACACACCCCTACTTTTGTACCTCTCACCGTAACCTTTTTCCCATAATGATAATAATAACAGTAGAGTACAATGGTACAATGCTATCCTTAATGGCAACACAAGTACTCTTTATGCTCTTTTTCTCTATAGTAGGAAAAGAAGATTAACCATTATCTACTCCTTTGTGGCTTTGTCTTCACTTTTCCATCATGAGTGAGGTTCAAGTATGCCACTTTTCTGGTTAACAGCTTGAAAATAGGTGCCTTCTCGTATAAAAAAGTCATATCCTAACATCATCAGATATGTGCCCATTCATGAATAACATCATTTCTACGTAAGGATTAATGAGTAATAGTCACTTCTTTTTATAATAAGAAAAATTTAAAATGTATGTATTAAATATAAGATACCTAAATTGCATTAAGAAGGCTGTTTGCAACATGTTAGATTGAGAGGATATTGATAAAAATTAAACCCATAATGAACCTTCAAACATAAGAGTCATGCTCTATTCACTCGACTACCGCTTTCGAGACAGTAAAAGGTATGCAAGTAGTGGTCACTTAAAAATATGGTATGGTAATATGGAAGAAAGTGTTGTAAGGAGACGTTTACTTGATCATTTAATTATAGTGGCTAATGATATATTAGGTAGCAATTTAGTTCAATTGGCTTAACATAATAGAAACTAGTAGGTCTAATTAAGGAATTGACGCAACCTAAACTTGGAAGTTCAAGTTTTATCATGCGTGTCAAATAGCATTGAATGGAATGTTATGTACCACACATGAAGCCACCGATGATGGTGTCTATTTGAACCCTTAGCTTTTCGTGATAATATGAGTATAGATAGCATGTTTTCACATTGTAACCAGATACGATTTTATCCACTTACAATATTATTATTTTCATAAATAATTGTACTCAAATTTTATACACATTTAAATCAATAACATAAGTATACATAATCACCTAGTCTTTGAGATTTTGACTTTTCATTATTAATTTTAATTTGTTATATTTTCATCACTAATGTTTTGCAATTTTTTTATTTTTTCATAATCGGATAACACATTATCTAATATTGCTAGTTTGATTTACCGCTCACCCCTGCTTGAAGAATGAGGTGTTTGGAGTTGGTCCCTTTGGAAGACTCTTATGTAGTGGTGTAAACAAGCCGAGTTGAGCTCGAGCTCGATAAACAATAAGTAAGCTCTAGCTCAGCTCGGTTATGAAATGAGCCGGTTCGAGCTCGAAGTTGACTGAACTTGAGCTGAACTTTGTCAACATTTGAACTTAAATTCAACTCTATTACGAAACGTGTCGGCTCGAGCTCGAAATTGACCGAACTCGAGCCCAGTTTTGACTGAGCCGTCGCAAACTGCTTGGCTCATTTATACTCATACTCTTATGGATGACTTTTGTGATGCCTCTTGGTGAGAAAATAACATGTTTGATTATCGAGGTCCTTTATTTTCCTTTGATCCAAAAAAATTATATTAAAAAATTTGTGAAAATATAAATAAAATTCTAAAAAATAAAATTGTCTTTTGCTCCATTACCGAGAGTATAACATAAGGTTTAAGTAAAGGCGATTTAAATCTTTTTACTTCATTTATTTACAGTGTTAAATTGCTAATCTCTAGAATCTGGTCATCGGCCGAAAAGGAAGTTGTTCTTGTCACTCATTTATTATATTCGCTGGAGCCTGCAACTCACGCAAAGGAGCCGTATTCAGTATTCATTTACTCTTTTCACTGAGCTGTACAGTTAACAGTCTACGCCTTGGAGCGCTGAATCCAAGTCAATTCAACCGACCTTCTTCTCTCCTCCCGTTTCTATCGCTTAACGTCAACCTTCACCTCCACGGAAGTCTCGTTTCCTGGAGATTTGAGTCACCGGAGTGGATCCGCTGTCTTGTCAACAGGTCACATGCGCATTGATGAATCGACGCGTAGAAAATTGAGGTATTACCTGATCTGGAGGGGTGAGTTTGGAGTTTAGCTGCCGAGTTGACTCGCGATGGTTGAGTGATTGCAGCGACGGGGAAGAGGAGTCGGAGCTATGAAGCAGAGCGCGGTGCGAAGGTCTAGCTTTCAGAAATCTCAGCTTAGATGGAGGAGGAAATCGCTTATGTTCGCGTTGCTTTTGCTCGGATTTTGCTTCGGAACTTTCGCGCTTATGGAGACGCAGTACAGTCGGATCAAAATGCTCGCGTTTCTCTCTCCTCCTGTAGTTCAGAAGCCCAAAATTGCGTTTCTGTTTATAGCTCGGAACCGGCTTCCTTTGGACATTGTTTGGGACGCATTTTTCCAGGTAATTGGGTAATTAGTCGATTACTTGCTATTATGATATGTTTCCAATTTTAGTCAGTTAAGCGCATTTTAGTTCTGATGGAGTAACTGCTGAACTCTTTTGAATTTGTCGTTTTCTTTTCATTATCCTCGCAAATTGACGTTAAAATAAATACGGAGTACAATTTTTATCCTAATTCACAGAAAAAATCGGTGTAATTAATTGTATTTGTTATATAATTGCAAACTCATAATTACATATTTACATTATATTACTAAAAGTAAAAGGTGTAGATGTTCGGGCAAATGCATGTTAATTATTCTTCTTAGCTAGTTGTGCCCATTCATTCAGAACACAGGTTGGCTAGAAACAGGATGCAATAGCAAATGGTGATGTGTCATACTACTCTCAATCGGAATAGGGATCAATGAATCCTCTAGCTCTCCATTTTCCTGAGTGACTTATGAATTCTTATGCTGGATACCTATATTTTGGTTACACTAGCTTCACATTTGTGTTTTGCAGGGAGATACAGAGAATAAATTTTCTATACACGTTCATTCAAGGCCTGGCTTTCTGTTCAATAAAGTAACAACAAGATCGGAGTATTTCTTGGACCGCCAAGTTAATGCTAGCATACAGGTTTCTTTTTTCATTCTGGATGAGATATATTTACCAAATAATTAGTCTGCTGAGATATCTCTCTGTATGTTTTTTATCCTGTCATGTTTTTGCAATGGGCATCCATGGTTTGTTTATGAGACTTGAACTGTGGTACTCAAATCCTGTTATGTGGGACTTTTCTCTTCTAGGTCTTAATTATTAGCCCAGTAATATTTAGCAAGTGACTTTTTCTTCAGGTAGATTGGGGAGAAGCTAGCATGATTCAGGCTGAGCGTATTTTGCTCCAAAATGCATTGGTGGATCCTTTTAATGAAAGATTTGTATTTCTTTCAGATAGGTGAGATGAGATTTAGTGGCTTTGCTGTTATTAATGCTCATCTTTGTAGTTAAACCATTTGTACTAGTATTGATTTTCATACCACAAAACATAGCACCCTATTTTGTTGGTAGATAAATTTGAATTGTACGTTGATTAATCATTATTATATATTGAGAGCATGTTAACTATGATGTTATGTACTTTTGTTTCAGCTGCATACCGTTGTACAACTTCAGCTACACATACAACTATATAATGTCTACCTCCAATAGTTTTGTGGACAGGTAAGCAGCCGATGCATAGTGCTTAACATGATTTGTTCCGACTTGGAGATCTTTGTTCTGTGTCTTTTCATATTGCTAAAGTTACACAGTAAAATCAAGCCATTGCATAGCCAAAATTAAGTTGTTTGAGCAATCATTTGTGAATGCTTCATGTAACTGTCTTAGTTTAATGCTGATAACAGTTTTGCTGACACAAAGGAAGGCCGTTACAACCCAAAAATGCATCCTGTAATTCCTGTTCAAAACTGGAGGAAAGGATCTCAGGTATTGATTTAAATTATTTTATTTTATATTTTTTGAAAGAATTTAAATTATTTAAATTATTTTATTTTAGACTGAGACTTATGCATAGTTTAGCTTATTACAACTTTATCTTTTTCTTGCAGTGGGTTGTTCTAAACAGAAAACATGCTGAAATTGTAGTGAAGGATGAAACTGTTCTTCCTATGTTTCAATTGTATTGCAAGGCAAGTTACTGCTGATTAAGCAGACTTTTGTTATCGTGTAAATACCCACTTTTATTTAAGAAGTTGGTGTAATAATGTGTAAAGTGTTAAATAATAATTACTCTTCATCAGATCTTATTTATATGCTATTTCAAAGTTCCTTTTTCTTTTTGACACTTTTGGACTCTGCTAGAACTATTAACCTTGCAAAAGCATGATACTTCTAAACCAGGATTCTTTAATTTGGCCTATGCTTCTGTTTTCCGGTTTCATAAGAATTCTTTATGTGCAGTCTACTTTAATTTGTACATGCACAAATCACTTTTCATATGTAATCTACTGTTCCATGTACATATTGCTTGTTATATTTTGTTGCCATGCCATTTTCGATTTACCTGAGTTGTGCAACAATTATGCAGAAAAAGCCGCTACCTGAGTTTTGGAGGGAGCATCCAGTGGTAAGTGTTCTTACCATTGTTTTAAGTATTTTACATTTCTTATTATAGATGGACCCATGTCATGACTTACACATTTTCATACAAAAATCTTGACACTTTCTGTGGCATCTGTTTTATCATAATTTCTGGTAAGTATATTTGGAAATGGTTTTGGTGATTTTCTGACTGATAAAAATTATTCTCTGTTGCAGCCTGCTGATACATCTAAGATTCATAATTGTATACCTGATGAACATTATGTTGCGACCTTGCTTGCTGTAAGTTGTTTTGTAGGCTAAGTCATAGTCATGAAGCCGCAGGGTTAATCCTTGCAAATGTGCTAATAGGCTAAACAATCAAGTTATATCTGATCCAGAAACACTTTCCATTTAATGCAGCAAGAAGGACAAGAAGGAGAAATCACCCGAAGAACCCTAACTCACACATCATGGGATCTTTCATCCTCCAAGAAAAAACGTGAACGACAAGGGTGGCATCCTGTCACTTACAAGTTAACCGATGCTACCCCCATGCTCATTCGATCTATCAAGGTATTCTTCAGTAATCCATGATTCATTCCATTTGTGTGAGCAAGATGGTGTTTCTCCTTCTGCATCTTCTAAAGGAATGTATAAGTAAATGCATTTTCTATTTTCGTTTCTCTAGTTTTCCATTTCTTCAGAAAATTGAGAATTTCTTCAATTGAAACGCACCCATATGGTTTTGATAAACTCACGTCTGCACTGCTTTTGTGTGCTTGGACAGGATTTAGACATTTATTGTTTTCGTTTTCTAGTTTTCATTTCTTCAATTCAATTGAAGCTCTCATATGGTTTTGATAAATTCACATCTGCACTACATTTGGACAGGATGTAGACAACATTTACTATGAGACAGAGTATCGCAGAGAGTGGTGCACTAGCAAGGGAAAACCTGCCCCGTGCTTCCTTTTTGCAAGAAAATTTACACGGCCAGCCGCTCTAAGGCTGCTCAACATGGTAAGTTCATGTCATGCAATCTGCAAAGATCCATTTACTGTACTGGACTGATTTTTATGCATGTGACGGTCTCTCATTCTCTCTTCTAAATAATGTTCATTCCTTCTTGTATGTATGTCTCCAGTCTTCGCTTGGAGTTTCCAGAGAAGAGAACAAACAAACTGCGACTTCCATAGAATAGTACGAATCTGATATTTTGAATACCACTTGAAGATATTAGGATTATTAGTAGTTTCTCAAAATGTACGAGTATGAAATATCAATGCGTGTATATTACATTATTTTATCTGAGAATGTAATAAAGAATGGTGTTTACAATGCATCTCTTATCTGTGTATCATGAATTCGTGTCCAAAGCACGCCCTAATTGTCATTTTAAGTCCGTATTATATTCAGATTAATTTTCATTCGCACCGGATCGATCTAGTTAAGGGATAAAGTGTTATCAGATTAGTAAGGGTTTTGAGCTTAGCTCGTGTCCTAAGCAAGGATTAATTTTCATTCGCACCGAATCGGCCTAGTTAAAGGATAAAGTGTTATCAGATTGGTAAAAGTTTTGAGCTTAGCTCGTGTCCTAAGTAAGGATTAATTGTCATAGGATAAAGTGTTATCAGATTGGTAAAGGTTTGTGAGCTTAGCTCGTGTCCTAAGCAAGGATTAATTGTCATAGGATTAATTGTCATTTTAAATCCGTATCATATTCAAATTAATTTTCATTCGCACCATATTCAGATTAATTTTCATTCGCATCGAACCGGCTTTAGTTAAGGGTGCGAATCGGCTTTAGTTAAGGGTATTCGTATCGAACCGGCTTTAGTTAAGGGTCCTTCCGGCTTATTTAGCGAACCGGCTTTAGTTAAGAGTATTCGCACCGAACTAGCTTTAGTTAAGGAGGGGCTTTAGTTAAGGGTATTCGCACCGAACCGGCTTTAGTTAAGGGTCCCTCCGGCTTAGTTAAGGGTCCCTTAAGCGGACCGGAATAAAGTGTCGATCAGATTAGTAAAAGTTTTGAACTCCCGACTTCTCTCTCAGATTTCTCTCAGATTAATTAGTTAAGGGTCCCCGACCCTTAAGTGGACCCGGGATAAAATGTCGATCAGATTAGTATGGGTTTCAAACTCAGATTAATTCTTATCTGCACTGGACTGACTAGTTAAGGGATAAGGTGCTGGTTAGATTGATAAATAAGAGTTTTGAATTCCAAACCTCTCATGATGAGAAGAACCATGGTTGGTGTGAGCTCAAATTAAAGTTTTCTGTTGGGAAGATTGGAAAAAGGGCTAAAATTAGAGCTCATCTCATTATCACTTCGACGATATGATCAAACAATTTGGTTAAAGAAATGCAGCATTTACCATTAACAAAAAACCACCACACTACACTTGATCAAATCATACAAATGTCACGCTCACGAACACAACAAATACACCAACAAGAAGCTCTTAATCAAGAGCTGAAACCAAACGACAACTTAAAATTAAATAAATATAATACACAAAGTACTTAACATCTGCATTCTACATTATTCCCTCCTTGCATGGAATCCATGGATATGGATCAACAGCTCGCTCATCTCCTTCACGCCGTCGTCCATGTACCTTGATCTTTTCCCGTGTCTTGAGCCGTGTTCTGAATCGTTTGACCCACGTCCTTGGTCTTCTGCCCCAGTTGAACCACCGCATCCTGCATGCGCCTCTTGGCACCCGCCATCTGCTCCGGCACCGACCTCCCTTGCCTCAAGTAATCCAGAAGCCACGACAGCGACGACAAACCCGACAGCCCGAGAGCGCCCGAGGTCAGAAACCCAGTGACTGCGAGCCCGATTGCGATGACCGCGGGCACGATAATGGGGCTGAAGAGGAGAAACAGCGGGATGGCAACCATAAGGCCGATCAGAGTGCCGGCGAGGGTTATGCCGGCAAGGCCCAGCAGGGTCCCGCATACGGGGAGGAGAGTGATGATTGCCAGGATTTGGGTGGCCGAGGGACCAGCATGATGAGGAGGAGGATTATAGTGGCCCGCTTTCACGCCGGCCTCGAAGCCGTGGTGGTACTGCGGGTGGACTTGGAGCTGGTGCGGCGGCGGACGGGTGGCCATGGGTGGAATTGGAAGTGAAGCTTACGTTAATTAGTTTTTGCAGAAAAAAAAAAGTGAATTTAATTAAGTTGAAAAGGGGTGATGATAGGGTGGAGATATATAAGGGAAATGGTGAGTGCAACGTGTTGGTATGCATGCGTGACATGAGTCTAAGGCTTCTGCATGACTAACATGTAGCGTTTCTTACGGCTTTAAAATGTTGTGTCGGTGTGTCGCACGCACTTGCCACCTATTAGCGGTGATCCTCGAATATGGACATTCAAGTTTATATTATTTAAATTGAATGGAAATTGGTTTCAAAAAAAAAAAAAAAAAAATTGAATGGAAATTTTTGCATCCATTTTGGGCCTTAAATGAACCTTTCTACTGGCTTAAAAAGCCCAACCATAAATACACAATCCAAGGAGATATTCGTGAAATAGCTAATATGTTTAGAAATATTAGCTTTTCTTTTGTTAAACGATCCGCGAATACGGCTGTTCACTTGGTTGCTCGGGAAGCTGTACTCAATGCTAATTGTAGGGCCTGGCTTTGTTCGCCTCCGCCTTTTCTTTCTGATAATTTCGGATTCCAGTTAATTGAATATGCTTTCTTTCCAAAAAAAAAAAAAAAAAAAGAAGAGATATTTACACCTTATTTTTTCACAATCGTTATTGCGTGGACCATATTTTTTCTACTATAAAATAATATACATTCAATATAAAAATAATGTACATTCACTACAAAAATAATGTACATTGTATTCAAGAGATGTACATTATTTTTATTCTGAGTGTACATTATATTGTATAATTTACATTTAATGCAAAACTAATGTAAATTTAATATATTAAAAATGTACTTTTTATTATGGTCTACATAACTGGTCCACACAATAATTCGCCAATTTCTCATTGTACTTGGGCCTTTCCGTTGGCATTATAATAGTTAAATCAGTGGCCATCAAATTGAAGGCAATTTATATGTGGACCAGGTTCACATAACATTGTGAACTCTGGATCAAAACGACGTCGTTTTGATATTTAATATTTAATAAATTCTGTAATTTCAATTTTCGTTTCTCATGTTCCAACACAAATTTTAATTTATTCTAGGTACAGAATTTATACACTTAAAAGTACAGAATTATATAACATCTATAATATAAGACTCATATACATATACTTGGTAAAAGAGTTCTAACTAATTTGATGAAAATAACATATTTTTTTTTTATTATTGTACGTGATGTCACATGCATACATAAAAATGTTATAATGTACTATCAAATAGCCAACCATGCAGACTATCCCTTCCCAAAACAGTGTGGGGATAACTTCAACATTCTCAACTAGTACGGACGACAACATTATATTGACAACACATATATCTACGTATGTAGCTCCTTAAAACTGGAGGCTTGTATATATACACATATATATAGGTCTAGAGATTCATGGAATCAACAATCAGCATCTACCACCTCAGGGTAAAACGACGGCGACCGATCAGCGGCTGCCGGAAGTGGCAGTCCATACTCGTTGACGGAAACCCTTTGTTGATTATCACCATAAGCCGCCGCCGTTTGATTCATCGTCGACACGAATTCCATTCCCGGAGGATATCCCTGATGGGAATGGGGCTTTGCGGTGAATCGCATCAGATCGGCATTGGTGTCGTCCAGCTCCTTCTGGAGGCGGATGACTTGGCGCTGCAGCACGGAGATGGCGGCGACGCAGCCGTGAACGGGGTCCTTGGTCCGCGCCTCCGCCTCGTAGGCCAGAGAGTTCACGGCGTCTTGCCTCTGGTGCGGCGGGATGGCGTTCAGCAGCTTGCCGACGTTGCTGGTGCCGAAGATTCGGTGGACGTTGGCGAACTGCTGCGGCTCCTCCGCCGGGAAGTACGGCGCGAAGATGCAGTCCGGCAGACATTTCCGCCTCAGCAACTTGCAGGCTGCGCAAGGAGGGTTTGAATAGCTGCTGGAACTTGAAGAAGAATAAGAAGAAGAAGACATATCCTTTCTATATATATCTATGATGCAACGTAACACACTATATTTTCATATCCTGCATATATACAAAAACAACACCACTTATAGTTCATTAAATGTAAGCATAAATGGAATTTTATTTTATTTTTTAATAACCCAAGTTTTATTTTTTCCTAGACCATAACATGGAGTCTAAGACTCATGAGGAGATAAATCGAGTATAGGATTTCAGTCCAAATTCTCAATATTCGTTAACAATTGAATCATGCATCATCACCATGTTGTTGGGAGAAAGTCTTAAATGAGATTATATTTCTTATCTACTTATTAGACTAATTCTTTGTGGCCTTTTTTATGACGAAGGAACTTCCCGTCACAACTTGTGTAACAAACTTGACCGAAAGAATATAATATTGGCAAAATAATCAAACTTATTACCTTATAATACAAGAATCATGCTCCATCCAAGAAGATGGGTGGCGCCATTTGGCCGAGAGTACAATGGGAGCCTAATGATCTATTATTGATTACAAGTAAGGTTATTATTGCCTAATAATTATGAAACAACTAAGGAGATCCAAGTGTACGTGTGCATAATAAATTTCGCTGGACACAATAAAGGTAAATCGCACTAGATAAATTTTGTGCCACTATAGGCGGCTTGACCAAAATATATTAATTAGCAAGAATCAAACTTAATTTTGACCTAAAAATTAATTAGGTTCTACCACTCGGTGTTGTGGTATTCCAAATAACACATATATGTGTGTGTAAATCCTGTTATAGACATTAAATTGCATATCAAATTAAACTAACCTACTATATGTTTTGTGAAGCTCCATTATGTTCTTGAAATTAAAAGATAGTGGATGATGTGTATATAGTATTAGCTAGCTAGCAAGGTTTGGGAGAAGCTAATTAGTACTGGCAGGCAATTAAGTTTGTGTAGGGTTAGGGCATCATGTGGACTTATTACTTCCGGTTTCTAAGCCTTTATGGTGAGGTGATATCCGACATTCATCCTGCAAAGTTCCGCGAAACTAGACTTTATCTTCTGCGCATTAATAATCATATATAGAACTCATCCAAATATAATTGATGGAACATTTCTATGTTTCCTACACAAACTAATCTGTCTGATCTGCTGCATCCCCCCATTGCCAGATCTACCAAACTTGTCTCATCACCATAATCATCACTCACCCAAATCAATACATATATATAAAGATATTAATATATATCTATCTACACGTACATACAGTACATACCTTTATGATTTCTTGATTGCTGTATATATGGTGGGGGATCGGAGAGATCTTCCAAGCTATCTCACTTGATCTGTTGTCGTTCTAGCTTGAAAGCTACCGCTATATATGCAACCTTTTATTGTGCAAAAATGAGAAAGAAGAGGGTTATGTGCTTGCAAGGAGAAACCCTAGAAGAAGATGGAGTGGAAAAGATGATGATAATGGAGAAGGGTGGAGGGTGACTGGGTGAGTGGATCAATCCTGATATTTTTGAATGATGGAGTGCAAGTGGCACACTAAATAGGGATTATTAGGGCAATAATAATGATTAGGTAAGGGTGGCTGCTAAATCATTAAAAAAATCGTTTTTACTTGACCGACATATAAGTTTGAACTTTAAATTTACCATATCATCACCACTCTTTCTTCTCGCCGCCTTAAAAGGGTGGAGGAAGTAAATTAAATGATGAGTCTCAATTGTCCTAAATATGGTCATATATATAAACTCCCGACCCAAATGGTTGTATAGTAATGCTATGCACCATGCGGCTACTAACAATTCAAAACAAAACTTATGAACTTTTTTTGTATTGATTGATCGACCAATTGATATGTGCACCCAAGAGTGACTTGACCTAAAATATAATTAGCTTACATGTAATTATCAAATGAAGAATGATTAGACAACGGTGCGGTGACTATAAAATCATTGAAGTGAATTGTTTATACTTCTCCTTAAAGGTTGAATCTTCCATCCCAACGGCCCCCACACTCTGATCCGACAGAGCATTTGAGATTATGTAAATCACAATAACTCGGTCCCCACACTCTGATCCGACAGAGCATTTGAGATTATGTAAATCACAATAACTTAATGGCTCAGCAAACAGGGCTAAATGACGGTGGGCATAAGGAAAAATGAATTGTTTATACTTGACTTGTCATATAACTAGCTTAATTATAGATGTAATTATCAAACACGAAAAATTTAAATAATAGTGATGACTGTTTATAAATAATTGAAATGAACTGTTTATACTTGACCTGATATATATAATTAGTTTAAACGCAATTATATAATACAAAATAAGTGCATTCAAAAAAAAAATATAATACAAAATAAGTAGACGATTATAAGTATTAAGTCAATAAAAAAAATTTGTATATACTTGACCTCACATATAATTAGTTTAAATGTAATTATCAAATATTGAATTATTCAATAGTGACTATTAAATTATTAAAATTGTTTATAATATATAATTAATTTAAATGTAATTATTGAATATGGAAAAAAGTTGTATCATGTTCATTGTCATATTGCACATGCTAGGCAACAACATCTTGGCTTGTGGAATCAAATAACAAAGTAGGGTTCGCTTATTGATAATTCATGGCACTATTTTATTATCAATTTGTCACTTGTTTGGCAACCTTATAAATACGGAAGAAAGGAAAATGGAGAATATATTTATTTAAATTTAAATATACGTTTGAAAGACAAAACATAAGAAACGGTGCCGTTTAACTTAAACTCTGCCCGGTCTTGTGGGCTTTAAGCAAGTGTTAATGGGCTTGTTAGTCGCAGTACTTAGCCCATACTATTTCTATGGTTATCCAGAGGCGTCGATTTCTGGCGCGCGGCCGTTTTAGTTTTGGACTCTTAGGAGCAATCAACAACGCTCTGCTCAGGTCCCGCTTGCTCGAATTGTTCTCCGGTTTACCAGAATTACACCGGTGAACGTCCGCTCTCGTTCTCCTGCAGAAATGTGCGGCGATGCGCCGATGCCGAAGCATTACAGGCCTGCGGTAAGTTGAACCTTTGCGAGTCTTCTGTTTTTTGTTTCGTAAAAAACTAACCGGTGTGATCGCCGCCGATTCAGCCATTATATCGTTTGTTACGTTTCAGGAGAAGAAAATGGAAGGAAACGCCGCCAGATGCATAACTAGGTCACAAGCAGTTAAGTCTCCCTGTTCAGGTTATCGTCTATCACTTTGTTCTCAGTTCAATTTTGTTGATTCACTTTATACTTTGTTGTATATAATTTCCTTCTGTTTGATTACCGTAAAAAGTATAATTAGGCATCGACCTCAATGTTTTTTATTAGGCTCCGACGCTCTGTTACTGATAAGGTTCTTATTGGTTAAATTTCAAGTGTTTGAGCGCTTGATATATGCTATTGACACTTCCTATTGATTTATTTGTTTACCGGAAGCTATGCATCCTCAAAGGTATATTTCCGCGAGTGCCAAAGAAGAAGATCAAGGGAAATCATCAGACATATCATATCACACGAAAGATAATATGTTCCTTAAACATGAGCCACTGCTTGAGAAGTTCATAATCATAGATATACTGGCTTATATGAGAAAAAAAAAAAGGTTTAGAAAGCTATGTCAAAGAAGAACAAGGATCTTGCTGAGTGTCTAGTTGTCTACTGAATCGCAAACCTACCTATACATTAGATAGGATTACTCGAGACAGGTTGGTGTGTTCAGTGTTGGTGACAAATTTGTGATGTACTTGCAGGTACCCTAAATTCATTGATGCATTGAGGGATTTGGATGATTGTCTGAACAGTGTGTATGACATACGCTGTATGAATTTGTACTACTCTCTCATCCCTGCATTTGGTGGTGTTGTCTCATGGGTGGGAGAGGGAGATGTTCAACCGCAGTGGGTTAGTTTATAGTTCGTAATGGACCATTGTATATTGCCTATCTTGTGTAAACCAATATTGGGTTTAATTATATAAAGAACAGTAAATGAGAAAAAGGGAGTTGCTGGGGGGCTGGGAAAGAGAATTACTTATTCTTTTAGCAAACTATTCTTTGTTTGTGCTACTGATCCTTCAGTCTGATCTTGATAGAGTTAGAAACTTACTTCCAAATATCCTTAACAGGGTTCCTCAGCTCCTTCGCACTTGTCACCTTGTTGACAATGAAGCGGAAGGCTATGTCCCTGATCCTGAATATGCTAAGACCATCAAACGGCTATAGGCCTCTGCAAGAAAAGAAGTCCTCCCAATGCAAGGTGTTGGCAAAGAGGATTTGGATGATGATCATCAGAATTTACTAGTGGAGGGTATTATTGACCGTGCTGAAGCTATTGAAGCTGCTAAGAAAAAGCAAAAGGTACTTTTCCAGATTTGTTTTTTTGAATTGAGATTCTAGGCCAATTTGGTATTATCCTGATATCCATGTTTAATAATGGTGTAGAAAAATTAAGACATAGCTGTGATATTAAAAGGATTAATAAGCCTCAAGTTAGAGAAAAAAAAAAAAAAAAAAACATATAAGTCAACATCAGGTGTAGAACTAATAAATTGGTGCAGTCTCCCAAGGTTTTACATGATTATCCCTATATTCGTGCACCCTAACCCAATGCTAATTGTTAGTAAGGAAAATAAAAGAAAATCAAATAGAGCTTGAGAGCTCAAGATGGTTTCATTCTCCTCCCAAAGTCTCTTTATATACTACATTGACTTTGAGAAAGTTATGATTGATTGTAACTACATAATTTATAAATTATAAAATTTTAAATGTCTCAACCAAACATTTTATTATTAATTCTTCTCCCAAAGAATTATTAATAAGTCCATAACCAAATAAAAGGGCGGTCATTTTGTATAAATTCATCAACCAAAAAGGTTACTTAATGAATTCAGTTAGGTAATGTTGGGAATAATCCAAAGAGAAAAGAGAAAATAGAATGAGTAGCTATAAATTGTTGTTTAATTTTTTGGACCAGCACTAATTGCTCTATGTTGTGGCATACGCCACTCATGTTTGTTTCGTGTGGCTGGGATGGAGGGTTGCTTGCTATATATAGCAGCTCCCAACATCATTTTAGGACACTCAAAATTTATAGCTTCTTCATTCTTTCTCGTGTGAGGATTAATATATATATAATATATGATTTCGTGTCTGCCTATTAAAATCTGAGCAATAGTGAGGTTCGCCTACGTAATTGCTAGTGGTGCAAGCTATCCGTAGTAGGTCTGTGTACCCTGTCGAAAGCGTGTCAAAGTTCTAACTGCACCGTTACCGGGCAAATAACGCTTTTAAGGTAGTGTTATTATAATACGACACAGATTCCCCTTCTCCCATACACCCGTTGTGTCTGTGCTTCTTAAAAGGCTTCCAGATCGCGCGTTGACGTTGCGATTATTTTCTAACAGTTAATAGCGTTATTTCAGTAACAGTCAACCTTTAGCGTTATGGCACCTTTTGTCATACATGATCTATCAAATATCACTGCGGTTGATGGAAAAAATTACAAAAAGTGGGCTCAAAGAATGCGTATCATCTTTGAACAATTAGTTGATTTACGTGCTATATTCAGTTGCACATGAACCTACTCCAACAGTGTTCTCTCCTCTTGGTGCTACAAAAGCTAACCATGAACCTGATTACACTTCGGGTGAAGAATCGAGAGAAAGCAACCCTGAAATAGATTACATTTCGGGTCCAGAACCGAATGTAATTATGATGCAGTTTAGAAATGACAATGCGGCAGCCAGAGGATACCTTCTGTCACAAATGAATGACAATTTGTTCGACATCTATGTCAAACAAGACTCGGCAAAAGTCATTTGGGAATCACTGTCAGAAAAGTATGGTGTTAATAATACTGAAAATCAAAGTATCAGCACCGTTTACAACAAAAGGAGTGGAAATTTTAAGAAGTTCAAAGGAAAATGTTTTGTGTGCGGAAATCAAGAAGTTCAAAGGAACACTTAAAAACTCGATGTCCTTGCTTTCCGCACACAAAACATCTTCATTTGAACTTCTTGATTTTTCCACTCCTTTTGTTGTAGACGGTTCTGACACTTTGACTTTCAGTATCATTGGCACTGTACTTTTCTGACAGTGATTCCCAAATGACTTTTGCCGAGTCTTGTTTGACATAGATGTCAAACAAATTGTCATTCATTTGTGACAGAAGGTATCCTCTGGCGACCGCATTGTCATTTCTAATCTACATCATAGTTACACCCGGCTCTTGACCTGGAATGTAATCTATTTCAGGACTGCTTTCTCTCGATTCTTCACCCGAAGTGTAATCAGGTTCATGGTTAGCTTTTATAGCACCAAGAGAAGAGAACATTGTTGGAGTAGGTTCAGGTGCAACTGAATATAGCACGTAAACCAACTTTAATTGTTCAAAGAGGATACGCATTCTTTGAGCCCACCTTTTGTTATTTTTTTCCATCAAGCGCAGTGATTTTTGATAGATCATGTATGACAAAAGGTGTCATAACGCTAAAGGTTGACTGTTGCTGAAATAACTCTTTTAACTGTTGAAAAATAATCGCAACGTCAACGCGCGATCTGGAAGCCTTTTAAGAAGCACGGATTCAACGGGTGTATGGTAGAAGGGAAATCTGTGCCATGTTATAATAACACTACCTTAAAAGCGTTATTTGCCCGGTAACGGTGCAGTTAGAACCCTTACACACTTTCGACATGCTACACAAACCTATCCTACTACGGATAGCTTGCATTAGCAATCACGTAGGCGAATCTCACTGTTGCTTAGACTTTAATAGGCAGACACGAAATTTTATATATATATATATATATATATATATATATCCTCACACGAGAAAGAAGGAATATATATAAGCAACTACTCGAATCAGAGAGCAGATTATAATAATTTTTTGGCAAAATGATGGTGTAGCAACAACAAAAATTAGGAGTGGAAGGCAGCAGCATCATACAGAACAACACTTATGAAGCACACTGCCTCAGCTTATGTGTAACCTTTAAGTAAGGGAGTACAACAGAAATAATTATTGGGTTCATATCGGAGCTTTAACCATAATCCGATGAGGTCTCCTCATATTTTATTATGACACATGCATATTTATATGATAATAAATTATCATATGCAAATGATTATTTTGAGCACAAGTAGTCATATATTATTGGGCATTGACTATATGCTCTTAAAACTATCATAATGACATAATTTAGAAGATGGTTTGTCTTATATCTTTGCATCCATTGATTATTATGTTTTGAGAGCATTTGAAACGTGAAATATATATTGTGACAAGTATTTTAGAAATCACCATTTCATATTTTATATGGTGAGTGCATTTAATATTATAGAGAAAATTAATAACGGTGTACATAAAGATAAGTAAATTGTTAATATTCACATGGATGAGCTTTATGATCATTTTGTTGTGTTAGAAGTGTTGATTTAACACTACTGCTAAGTGATTAAATTATCAATCTGATTTAAAACTTATAAATTGTATACTTATACACATATCGAATTTATGACATTATGTGTTATATATATTATTGATATGTTACAAACATTACGCTATTTGATGAGATACATATATATTTTATAGTCACATAATCTTAAATATTTAAATTGTATACTGAGATTAATTATCAAAGATTTTAATTACAATTTGATGCTGTTTAACTTCATGATCTGAATAATAATAATAATAATAATAATAATAATAATAATAATAATAATAATACTCTTTGAGAATTGAGATTCTGCGCAGCCCACCATTTGAAGCTGTGTTGCAACGATGCCCGACATGTTGCTATAGGCCAACCCAATATTTTGCGTCATATAATTCAGATGGGCTCCGCATACTGAAAACGAGGGATCAAAATCGGAAAAATAAAAAAATTAGGCGGGAAAGCTAGCCGTTAATACACAAACACCAAAATCTGGCGCCAAAATCCCAATTCCCCCTCGGTTTCAGCTGCCCTCCTGCCCAATATTTTCACGGGCAGCCCTCTTTTCCCTCAAAAATCTTTCCCAATTAGTATTTCGCATTCCTGTCAATTCCCTCCCTTTTTTGGTAAATCTATGTATTTTATAGCGCTGCAAGAAAATATATAAGAGAGCAGATATATGGCTACTAGTAGTCGTAGTACTAGACGAGCTCAAAAATTATGCAGCGGTGAATAAAATTTCAAGTCCATGTTCCCTTTCTCTTTCTTCATTCTGACTCCATTTTTGCATTCCTTTTGCCCCCAAAAAAACCTATCTTTTCTCTCACCCTTTGCTCCCCAGAATTCTTCTTTCCTCCTCCCAATTCAAAAAGCTCATCCTTTTAGCACCCAATCTTGAAAAAATGGGGTTTTCCAAGAAGCTTCAAGTAGACGGCGGCAAGGAATCGGAGGGGACGAAATGGGTATTCGCCGAAATCGCGATTTGTGCTCCTCTCAACTCCATATCTACTAAGCCCAAGGAGGGAAACAACGCTTACCATTCCGAGTCCGACGAAGACCGCGGCTCCACGACGCCGACGTCCAGGGATTCCAGAATACCGGAGAGGCTGCCCTGCCCGCCGGCGCCGAGGAAACGCCGCCCGGCGTCCTCTTGCCGGTACAACGGTGCCCGGGAGTTCTTTGATCCGCCGGACCTCGAATCCGTATTCATACGCCACGTGGAGCGGGCCAACTGATTAGCAAGAGTGATGAATGTAGCTCCCAGGCGGCCAGGCTCTTATGTTCTGTTCTTCTTGGTTTCATTTCTCAGATTGTAGCATTTGAGCTTAAGCTTTGAGATTATGTAATATACAACACCCTACCATGTAGTTTAGTATATTTACTCCTTTCAAGAAAAACATTATCAAAATTTTCTAAGATTATCTTTGTTAGCTAATTTATTTATTTTTAATTTCAATATTATTATTATTATTATTGATAAAATTAAAGGGTAGTAAATCTTTATCTTGGCTGGAAAATGATGCTGCAGACTCTCACTCTGAAATCTAAAGTGATCAATTCTTAACCCTTTCTGGGGTCCACCATCTATTATTTCAAAATTTATGCTTTGAAAATGCACACCCTGCCTGGCTGCCTCCAGAGAATCCTATGTAGGGTTCAACAAATTCTTCCATTTACATTTCACGTTCACATACAAATCTTTCATTCATCTATCAACAAATAAAATCTTCAACTCAAACAGTCAAACTTTATAAATAAAGTAACAAAATTCAAAAGAAATTTACTAAAATCTCAACTTTAAAGTTATATTTAATTTAATTAGATTAATTTAGTAGTGCAAGCGAAATTAATTATTTGGTCAAAGTTTAATTCAAGTTCAGCAAAATTTGAACTTTAACTAACATATTAAGTAATCAAGCCTAACCACATGCAAGCCATATATATAATTATATATTATTCAAATTTAAGTTACTTTAATTATTTCGAGCTTGAACTCAAACTAACTTAAGTTCAAGTTCGGTTTGGCTCATTTGCATGCCTAAATTGATTCGAAGTGGATTAACTTAACAAGTTAAAGGGGTTTCTTTGATATACGGGAAAATCAGCTGCCGCTACTCGAATGTGCGGTTTGAGTGAAGTCCGCCTTATAACTCTAGTCGGCAAATCAGTTCATAACTAACCGATTCAAACTAAAAAGGTTAATAAACTATTCTCACGGAGTCAGTTCATAACTAACCGATTCAAACTAAAAAGGTTAATAAACTACTCTCACGGAGTCGAACTTGAAACCTTATAGTTATCGAGTTAACTATCTAACCAATTTAAGTAAGATTGACCAATTAAAGAGGTTTCTTTTACTTATTTGCAAAACTTAGTAATATATTGGGAAGCAGGAAAGATATATATTGTGCATGATCAAGAAGCTAAAGGGAGTTCTTTAACATAAAGAAATTAAAGAAAAGGCACCTTGGGATCACACTAGTGTTAAACAAAGCAAAATTGAAGCATTTGACAAAAGTGGGTATGGTGTTTGTTTGCTTTATAAGATTCTTGTTAGTGTTTAGGATTGACTTGAAAAAGAGTTTTGAAGAACTAACAGTGAAGTTGAATTGAACAGAGAGTGAGAGAGAGAGGGGATAAGAATGTTGTCTTCATCGGATTCTCCAAGCTAAGGATAAGTTCCAATTTGGTTGCCCTATGGGGAGCAACGCATGCAGCCAAAACAATATAAATCCATATTTGATTTGCTCTTATTTCAAGTTCTTCCCCCCTTTCACCCTCATGCAACATGACAAACCCATTCAAATCAAATGTATTATTGCCCTTTGCATATATACATACATTATGGTTTCAATTCTATGCTTATACACACACATTAAATTTTATTTATTAAAAAAAAAAAAAAAACTAACCCAGAGCCGGTCCTGATCCGTGCTAATCTAGGCCCAGGTTCAGCTCGGGATTTGGCCACCTCTAGTACTAAGTAGATCCCATTCATTGTTCCCAGCTCCAGCTCGGGTACTAGAGGTTTCCAGGTCCAGCCCGGGATTTGTGCACCTCTAGTGAATTCAAAAGAAACCACACATAAGAAATAAATCACACTAAGAAAATTTTATGCAACAGACTCAATTGAGAAGATATTAACAAAAACTGAACAACTTTAAACTTTAATTTATATTTTGTAAGGTAATTTTAATCTCCAAAAATTAACGAAATAAACACAATCAAATTCGAACCGTCCATTTGTGTTGTCATACTCACATATGAGGATGGTATTAAAATGACAAATAATGGCGCCATTTATAACATCTTGCAAGTTGCAAATTTTGACTTGGTTACATCAAATAAATATGAAAGACTTCTGCTGCATCTTTATCCTCATCCTTGGACGACAGCCTTTTTTCTTCAACACGTTTCTACCTTCATGATTTGTTTGCGTGTGGGAGCAACCTTAACCAATCATTAAATTTTTTTTCTTGTTAAAGTAGTGAATTCCATTATTGTAGTGAGCTCAATCAAGATTAGGCCTATCTATAAACTAATCAACTTGCGTTGGAATGTTTCCCAGCCAAATCAATGATTTCAAGTTGTTATATAGTATTTTTATAGGGAATTTTTTTTTTTTTTTTAATAATGATGAGAACACGCAAGTCACTACTTAATAGTGTGCACGTGATAAATTATGTTCATGTGTAATAATTTGCAAATCATACACAGACCCTGTGTGATGAGTTTGGCCGAAAAAATGCTTAGCTAGTTAAATCAATGATTTCAAGTTGTTATTGTATAGTATTATAAGTTAGTTTGTGGGTATAGATTGGATTTTTTCTATACCAGGAAAAAAAAAAAAAAAAAGTTGCGAACTTTGTAAGGTTGGTTGATACTTGATAGTGACCATGATGAATTGTTATCTAGTATGTGCAAAAGTTAGCTTCCTTATGGATTTGATGAATATTATACATTCAATTTTTTGCCAAAATCTCTCTTTATAGGTTGGATTTAAATAACCTTAATTCTTTTTAGGACATCCAAACGAACATAAAACATTGCATAGAATATTAGCATGCCTTCAACTCTTCTTAAGAATAACATTTATCTTTCAAAAAAAAGAAGAGAGAATAACATTTATAATTTGAATTAAAACAAACAGACACACACACATATATAGTGAAATAATATGGAATATTAAAATGCCCTTCACTCTTATTAAAAATTATTACTCCCTCCGTCCCATTTTATGTGTCTGGTTCAGTTAGTAAGGTTTGACTGAAATTATTTTTAATTCAATTTTTTATAATATTAAGTTTATTATTAGTATACAAAATTTATATATTTAGAAACTACACTAAAAGTACTATTAAACACAAAAAAAAAATAATAAATAAATAAATAAAAAAAATTATAAAGAAAATAAACAAAGAATAAATAGTTGGTTTGACCAATGAATAGTAAGTAGGACAGATAAAATGAGACAAATGGAGTATTTTATATGTGCGATGTGCAAAAATACATGCCTAATATTTTACTCAATGTTAAGATCTTAATTATATAGTATATCTCTTATAGCATAATGTATTTTAAAAAATTTAACAGAAAAAACAAACATAAATCAAGAATATAACTTAAATTAAGACTTATTATGTTTTTAGATAATATGAGGCAACATTCAAATTAACATGTAGGTACACATATGCACATATTTGTGATTATTCTTTAGTTTGAAAAAATTTGACAATATATATGATATAAGATGTCAGCATCATGATCAGTAGAATAAGGAGGTATTTGAATGCAAGAAGAATCCAATGTATGGGCTTCAATACTACAAGGAATCTAAACAGGGACAACCAGATTCCTATTCCTATTCCTATTCCTATTCCTATTCATGAATCATGGACAGTCATCTCCTCCTAGTCCTGTACAGCGTACCGCCACTGTTACCACCATTCCACCAAATTTTAAGGTTCCACGCGGTTTCTGCCCCCGGTCAGGCCTCACCATTCAGGGCTCCGCAACTAAAAGACAATAATATGTCCTGACCGAACTGCCCGTTGATCTTCTTTTGGCGGGAACGCGAACCGGAAAACTTTCCGCATTCGCGCCAAATGAGATATCGCCCGCGAAATGCGGTGCTGATTCGAGACTACAATCTTTCCCTTATTGTGTTGGGCCCAATTTATGGCAAAGGGCTTTGCTGGACCGTTTGCTTGGGGCCCTGTGTACGGGATATTGGCCCATTTTTAAAATGGCTACGCGTTTAATGAGGCCCAATGATTTGCTGGGTTTAAAATTGACTTGGAGTCAGACACCAACAGTTATAACATGGACCCGAGTTCACTTTGCAAGGTGAACTCGAATGTAAAATACACAATTTATATATTGAATGTTCATAATTTGAATTGTGAACATTTAAGTATGTAAATTGTATATTTTTAGATCCGGATCTATATAATAATTTGTCTTCAGACACTAGGCCAGTAAGGTCCAAGGCCCAAATTAGTTTTACTGGATCTAAAATACACAATTTATATACTAAATGTTCACAGTTTGAATTATGAACATTTAGTATGTAAACTATGTATTTTGGACTCAGGTCCATCTTATTCCACAATAATTTGCCAGTTTTACATTAGCCACAATTCCTTTAAGATTTCTACCAAAATTTACCCCAAAAACGATGACCGAATAGATAGAACATAATTATCATAAGTCACAAGTTCAATCTTAACGAGTACAATTTGCCTTTTCCTTATGATTTACAAATATTACACAATAATGTGATTTACTTTGTGCATTTCCTCAAATAGTGATTGCAAATTTTTCTTCCTCGCCCAAAAAAAAGAAAAAAAAAAAAAAAAAAAAAAAACTTATTTGCAATTCACAAAAGAAACCTAGCTTCTATTCCTTAACTAAAGATCTAGAAATTGCACAAAACCATCACTTAAAAGGGAGACAGCATGTATGCCCCAAACGGCCAAACTTGTCTTTTGCCTCCTTCTCAAAGGGATCATCACCCAGGTACAGCCGTACAGGTAGATGCATGCCCTGCACAGTAGCTTGCTTTCCACTGAGCTCATAACTTCACCCATTATTGCATTTACCAGACATAAGACATCAAGTTTATTTACATCTTATGCTTTTCACTAGGAAAAGGTTTTGGTTAAATCCAATTCACCAGGTATACAAATATTCAATGCTGAAAGTGGTGTGTATTAACCAAATATTTGATAGAAAGGACTGTAGAGGACAGTTTAGATTTGTGGTTTAATTTTACCTTTTATCTGCAGAATATATCCCAGAAGCCTTGAGATCTCAATCACAGAGCCCGCTCTCAGCTTTATGTAATCAGAAGCTTTTGTCATTGTCCTAATTCAAAAAGACAATATTATAGTTTTCAAAATTAGAGGACTCAAGAATATATGTTTTGTATGTATACAAAGATGCCTACTGTTTTGTGTCTTTCCTCCTGTGAGTTTCTTGATGGCAGCTCCTAGCCTCCTAGACCCTTGTCAAAATTTGGTAAGGGTAGAGAATACAACTACAATCTCACCATCATTCCCAAATCACTATCTATGACCACTTGATACACTTCCTTTGTAGGCTTTTCTGGAGCTTTCCCTACTTTTGACCACAATAGATCTTTCAGTGAGATAAGTCCATCAGTCGTGAATCTTACACAACACATTCCAAGGACCTAAATGGCTGATAGTAGTAGCCTGACAGAATGTAAATTGCTATTAATCACCCAGTGGGTTATCATCTTGAATATAAAATCACTTGCATAATATGCAAACAAAAGTTACAATGTCACCCTGCATCTGAAAGAGGTAATCAGTATGGCCAGAAGTGTGCATACCTGGCCTTTCGCCTGAGGTTCTGATATGCCTCTTCCATACTGGAATTGCACCTTAAACCTTCCCCCAAAAGTCAGCTAATGCTCTACACATTCAAGCTGCTTATGGTTATTTGCAGAAGTATGAAGCTTGGGCAGACCAGTAATCCTGAGTTCAACTCAAGAAGAAAAAACTGCCATGCAAGGAAAGTAACTAAATAACCTAAATTCCAAGTGCCTGATATTTTCTTTACGAATGAAAAGAAAAAAGAATCATCAAGTCTGAACCGGAGCAATCTTGTTCAACTTGATGCCATGAAAGAAGCTGTTATTACCAAAACAACAATTTCAAACTCAGTCTCATGCACAAGGACAATTGTTAAAGACGATCTCAGGCACCAGAGACATTGCATTCTTGATCAAAGCTTAAGACCAAGGCCATTAGCAAAGTGATAAAAGAGGTGCATATAGGTAACGATGCCAGAAAGGCGGAAAATAGATTATTAACCTCAAAAGAAAATGCTGCTTAAATCTACTTGCCCATTACCATCATATTCAAAGCTTTCTCCCAGAAGAAAAAACAAGTAGCAGACATCAATACTATTGAAAGAAAACTTGTGTAGAAACAATCCAAAGCCAAGACATAGAACAACCGAACAAACACCAAATGTTTGCAATTCATTCAACAAATAACCATTTAGTCTACATCAGCCTTGAAACATACATCTAAATTGACTCAGTTTGGCAAGCAACAAGCTGTTAATACTTGATAAATCTAGCTATGAGTCTAAAGTAGAAACTAATTTACAAGCTAGCAACACAAAATGGACAAGGCAGGATCTGGCCACAGTTAGAACAATATTGATACAGATTGAACAAGGTTGCAATACTTTGTTTTTATCACCAAGAGCTCCACTAGATGTGCATAGTAAATGAGCTCACTCTTCGCATAGTGATGTGATAAGCTCGCGCGGTGATTTTGCCCAAATCGGAAGGTCTATGAATGATTGCTTAAGCCTGTCTTCTTGAGCACTGCACAAGGCTTCAGCAACATCGCATAAATTTGATATGTCGCAAATTATGGCTTCTTGAATTTGAGCCTATGCAAAACCAAATGGAGTGTAAGCACTTCAAATACAACTAAAAAACACGCCAAACTTTAGCAGCAGAAGGTTGTTGTAACCTTTACCTGAGAAAGGAGCTCGTCTATAAGCTGCCGGGATGAGTTACCCGGCGGCCCGGAGGTACTGGCGGCATGGTCCGAAGACGGTGTAGGAAGCTCTGGATGCGTCTGTTGCTGGATGGAGGCTTTCTCTTGCATCGCCTTCAAGGTGTTCGACAAATGTTCCCACTGGCGAATCTCTCTTTGATACTTCTGCTTGAGTTTGACGAGTGCGGCCCTCTTCCGTTCCCGGCGGTTGTTCTCCTCCGCCGTGGGATCAGGAAGCGGTGGAAGCGAGGAGGAGGATGTGGTAGGGGTGTCGAGGCGGGGGCGCTTCTTGCGTTTGTAGACGAAGCCATCGTCGTTGACGACCTCCCATTCGTCGTCTGCCCAATCTAAACCCGCCATGGGCTTCGACGAGCGGGAAAATGATTCAAGTAAAGAAAAAGGCTCAATTTGAAATGGACCGCGATCTTAACGGCGCGCGGGGAAGGCATCAATTTTCAGTTCACCGGATAAGTCCAACAAAGGCGTCATGGACGATATTATTTTAATTTTGTTTTTTAATTTTACAAATCAAATAGAGTACTCCTATTAAAACCTTCACACATAGTTACTAATTCTGAATTATAGACACTTTTTTTTTTTTTTGAGATAACAGGCTTGTCTAATATTAGGATCAAATTAAGATAGATGAGTTCCTTTCATTCAATCACACTCCAAATTAATTAAATTTAAATTAATCAATTAGTTATCATGTAACCCCATTGAATTGATAGTTTATAATCACTGGGTTAGGTTACTCCAATAACTATCTCAGTCATAAAATTAACAAAATTAATTATTATTATTATTATTTAAATTCAATCACCGAATCTCATTTTTTGTACCCAATCATTATATGCAACATTGAGCATATTTTCCTAATTAGATTTTAGGTAATTTGAGAGAATTGGCCAATCCAAAAAGAAACGGGGTCAATTTCTGAATATCAAAACATCAGGGATGGTTTTTAATTAAACCCAAATCCAATCCCAATATATAAAGGGAAAACGTCGCAGAGACCTGAGCGGAGCAACGACGCGCCACCAGAGCAGACGGGAAGTGTTCGACCAAATGCTTCAATGGCGAAATCGACGCAACTCTCCAAAGTATCGCTCGCCTTCCTCCGCTTCACGAGCACAGCTTCTGTCGCTAGGCCACGCTGCATCGCCGTTCCCTCAAAGCTTAAACCCCTCATGCTAAGGCATTTCTCAACGACCTCAACTCCATATCCACTTCAATATGAGATGATCGTATCTCGCCCAGTCGAGCCCCCGCGGAACCATGGTCGCCGCCGTAGCCTACGGAGCCCCATCGCAAATTCCAAACCCACCGAGTCTCCGGAACCCGACTCGGAACTCGGATTCGATGACTGGGTCGAAAGGAAATTAAGCTCAACTCCATCTTCTTCACAAAGCCCAGCTGACCAGACCAATGATACAGATACAGGAATGGACAAGGCTAAAAGGAAGTATTACAATAAGAGGAGGAAAAGAATGTTTGGGTCGGATTCGGAAGACGAGGGTAACCGCCGGGATGGTAGTGATTTTGTGGAACTGAAGCAAGAAGTTGTGGAGCTACGTACGTTGCATAAGAAAGAGGAGGAGTTGCATTTCTATGATGCATTTGCGTATCCCTGGGAGAAGGACAAGCATTATAAGATGGTTTATCAATTGGAGAAGAAGTACTTTCCTGATCAGTGTTTCGATAAGGCTTTTCTCGAGCCTGGTCAGTCCAATGAGAGTACACCGAAGGGGAAAAGGAAAGTTGGCAAAAGTGAAGATCGTAAAGAAGAAGCTGCAGATCGCGTGCAAGATACAGGGTTGGTGTTCTTTGAGACTGAAGAGAAGACTGAGAATACAGAGTGTGAGACTAAGGATGCCAAAGTGGACGTTTCAGAGAAGAAAGTTGAGGAATTCTTCAAGTGTTTGAAGACAGTTCCAAATGACAGCGACAGAGGTGGTGTTTCCAGTGCCGAGCCATTCTTTTCTTCAAGGAATACAGGCCTTCCTCCGAAATGGGATAGCCCTGCTGGGACTGTGGTTTTAGTGAACAAACCAAAAGGTAAGTTTGGTATGATTTTTCATGGAATTATTATGACTGTTCTGCTAGCCATTGCCTAACATACAATTACTATGCAAGTGCCAGATTGCATTCCACATTTAAATAGCAGTAAGTAGAGAATAGAGATTGTGTGAATTTCTCTGAAAATGTTAATCTGATGTCCTTGGTTGTTCTATAAATATCACCCCCAGGTTGGACTTCATTTACAGTTTGTGGAAAGTTGCGCCGCCTAACCAAAGTGAAAAAGGTCATTATCCTTTTATGGATGAAAGTGGTAAGCTTTCTAGATTGGCATGTTCTTCTTAATATGCTCTTAAATATACCTCTTGCAGGTAGGACATGCTGGGACTCTTGATCCTATGGCCACTGGTTTATTGATTGTATGTGTTGGTAAAGCAACAAAGCTGGTTGATAGGTCAGTCAATATGTGTCTTATGTTCATCTAGTCCTAAAAAGTTCATATTTTGGAACTTCAGATGAAAGTTTCTAGTACTCCGTACTTTGTTTTACTCCAGTGGATTCATGTGACTAGATTAGCAAATCATTGCACTTACCTCAGTGAATTGTTAAGGCCAAATTCCATTCAAAGTCTTAATTTTTCTTGGCAGATACCAGGGTATGATTAAGGGTTATAGTGGAGTTTTCCGACTAGGAGAAGCCACCTCTACATGGGATGCGGATTCCCCGGTGTGTTATTATTACATTTTGCCATATGTCTATGCTGGACTTGGATATCTGTTCAATGGCTAAAATAATATTAGTTGCTAAACATCAGCACTATGTGTTTAAATTCTTGAAACATACAAATGAACTGGCATTTTTTTGGTGGACTTGTAAAGTTTAGAGGTGCTGAGTGTTCTACATGAAAGAGGTCACAGTTGGAAACATTTTGATTTATATAGGTTATTCAACGTGAACCATGGGAGCATATCAAGAATGAGGATCTAAGAAAAGCTGCTGCATCCCTTTCTGGAGAGATATGGCAAGTCCCTCCAATGTTCTCTGCCATCAAAGTAAGTTCAATTATCATTCTTTTGATCACATTGCAGATCAAATTCTGGAGATTTTTATTGCTTACACTGCAAATGCTTATCAGATATCTAGGTTCTATTATCAAGGATATTATTCAATTCTGGTCAGATACTGTGCACTGAGTTTAGCCTTTATTATGGGTGTGTTTGGTTTGTGGGGTTAGACACAAGGAATGGGAATGAAAGTCATACACGTTGTTTGGTTGACAACTTTTTAAAACTCAAGTATAGGATTTGATTACCCCTATAATTACAAAACCCATTACCTAATTGAAATTAGGTATCATTCCATTAATTTAGCCTTATCGCTCCTCATTTCATTGCTTCCTCATTTCGTCGCCTCCTCACTTCATTGCCTTCTCACCTCATCACCACTCTTAAGATCAATTGCCTTGATTTTTTGTTTTTGTATTTTTAAAATCTTTATTCTGATTAAAGGGTCATACATAACCAAATATCAATATTGGTAATCATTCCAATTCCACCCTACTACCAAACATGCAAAATACTTTCACCAAAACCCATTCCACTTACCAAGTATTTGATTCTCATTCCGATTCAGATTCCCACTTTTGAACCAAACACCCTATGTTTTGTTATATAGAAAAGAGCATCCCAAATTATGGCTCTCATCTTCCATTTTATCTAAATTTTCACTTTTATCCCCACCCCTATCTCTGCTAATCCTTTTGGATGGCAAAGGTATGAATAGTTTACATAGAGAAGCTACAGTTCTCATAACCTGATTACTTTCGTGTTTCTTTGCCATGTGACAGGTTGGTGGTGAAAAGATGTATGAGAAAGCAAGAAGAGGTGAAAGCATTGAACTTTCACCAAGAAGGATTTCAATATTCCAGTTTGACATTGAACGTAGTTTAGAGGACAGGTTGTCAATGGTTTGATTTTTATGCAGCTTTTAGCTGTGCTTCATACTACTGCTATTCCTACTCGTGCTCCTATATTTATGACATGATTCTCTCCCCTCAATAGTTTATTACACTATCTTTACAGATCATGGAAATGGGGAATTTTCTTTCAGTTGCTAGTTGCTACACTTCCATTTGTCTAACATAATTCATAATTCTGTTTGAAATGCAATCCACATACATTATTTGAAATTACCTTATTGCATTGCAGACAAAACGTGATTTTCCGGGTAATATGCTCAAAAGGAACCTATATTCGATCGCTCTGTGCAGATTTTGGGAAGGCTCTGGGCAGGTAGCATATGTGAAAATGACTTTGCTCTACAGCTCTAAAACAATAGAGTTAATAAGAAACCATAGAACTATTTGAGCTACTTTGTTTCATTTTTCTATTGTATGTGATCTGATGTAATGTTGGCTATGTTTTCTTGCAGTTGTGCTCACTTGTCAGCCTTACGAAGAGATTCAATTGGTATGATTCTTTTCATTTAATCATTGGTTATCGCTTGTCTCATACAACTGACCTATATTTAGATATGACCCCTCCCCTGATCCCCACCCCCCACCCCCCCAACCACCAAATACCTCACCCCATGCTGTTTAGTAACCATCTATCTATTAAATTTTGCTTGCCCTGAGCTAATTGTGGTTGTTTGTTATCTCCATATCAGGAGAATACAAAGCAAATGATGCTTGGGAATTTCAAGAGTTGGAAGAAGCAATAACCAAAGGATACTTGTAGAGTATTTACATACTTCTCGTTTCATTATGAGGATATAGATCACATAGGACCATGATTTTACATATTCACAGGCATGGGAAATGTTGTTACCCTCTCTTTACTATCTTATTGTTATTATTCTTTTCATGTGGAATATTTCTTGGTATGTAAAAACCAACCATTTTCCACATAAGAAGTGTAAGCTACTGCTCCCTATTAAAGAAAATGTTGAGACTTCTTTATCATCAGATTCTGTGATATCAACAAATGCTTCCTTGTAATGAAGTTCAAGAAAGTAAAAAGACTAGTCCTTTTTTCTTTGGCTAAAAAGCTCATGAATTCATTCAATAAAAAAATTCAGATATCAAATTCAACAATATAATACATCACACACCCAGCAGTAAGAGCTGGAGAGACTGAAAAATGAACAGAACATTCAAAAGACTACATCATCATCATCATCATCATCATCACACAAGATGCTTGTAGGGGCTGCCATCAAAACTAGATTGAATTAATGGAACTATTGACTTTTCAACCTATGGAGCACCACCTACTATAGTCAACTCTACTAGGTAAAGGGTTTGGCAGCCCTGCATAGCCTCACATTGTTCCGCTCAGGTGGGTTGTTTGTCTGCCTAACGAGTTGTGGAGTTAGGTGGATCGATCCCCATTGCCTCGAAATAGGCCTTCTCAGCACCAGCCACACGATCCTGAAACATTGCCCATTCTCTTCTGCACCTTTCTCTTACCTGAGCCACCATATTAGTTTTCCATAAATCACTCTACTGATTCTAAAAGTTAACGTTCATGAATATATCGACAGATATTTGCTAAGTTAAAAAGAGGACGTAAGAATCAAAATATGAAAGTATGACAGCTAAGTGACTTGCAACATACCCCTTCCCATGGTGCTTTGCCATTCTCTGCTTTACCCTATTCAAAAATTACAATAGATTACGGTCCATTTCTCATAAGGTTGTAAACAATGCATTTGTGATGAGATCTGGATATACCTGGTTCCCGAGTGAAGGAACAGTTTGATGCACAATCCACTGGGAATCTACAACTCCTATTTTTTCATGGGCAGGCTGCATATGTTTACAGTGGCATTAAGGACAATATTAAAGTACGGTGAAAAATCAAATCAAACCAATGCTCGCTGCAAATACTAACCTCAACACATTTTCTAAGAGCAAAATCAAGACCCCATCCGTGAACCAGATCATTCTGCAATCAAAGACCATACAACTTTTTTGAGAACCAGGGGCGTGGTATTAATTAGCCAATGAATGATAGAGAAAAAGAAGTCGGAGGTCATAACCTGTATCATATGCCAGACACAACGCCATGCATCCCTAGAAAATACAGGTGCCATGATCTCAACAAACCTGTTTGTTAACCAATTAAGTGGTAAGACTACACATATCAAATAGGGTAGAGGTTATAAAGTGAAAAGTGCACTAGTAATTAATGAAAATTGTTAGGGACACATACGCTGCACAAGGTGGTAGATGTGGATCAGCACACCAACCAGGTCTTTCCTCAGTTTCTCTGCAAGCAAAGGCATCGAAAATGCGTGAAATCAAAGGTATAAGTGTCTGGATTTATATGAAAAGCAAAAACGCCACTTAGGCTTCAATACAAATGGCATCTTCTAAAACCCCTACTTGTGAACTTCAGTGTCTTCTCGCCTCTTTGTCATTTGCCAAGTCAACCCACTATTTGGTTCTAGACCAGGCTGTGAAATTTCTAAGCCATGTTTCTTCACCAATTTAATATACCTGCGACAGGAATACAAATCTAAGTTCACCAAGAACATCGTTCTAATTTGTTTGAGGATGCAAGAATTATTATACTTACTCCTCTGCATCAAAATTTTCAAGCCCCAAGTCCTCATCCCAAATGAATATATAGTCATAGGGTGCTACAATGTCGGGGTGCAAAAACCGTTTTGCATACCACCTTTCAACATAAAGAATCAATTATCAGGCGGAACACTACATGAATACAACAGGCAATCATAACTGCCTGAATGCCACTGAATATAATGATTAATGCAAATACAACAAACAGTCACCATTTAGTTTGCTTCAACACACTGACATGGATGGCCTGCTTTGACCACTCAAATTCATCCCATTCGGTTGTCCGGCCATCATAGTGAAACAATACAATGGTAAAGTCATCTGAGAACTGCAGACAGGTGTTAAGCAGTGAAGATGCAGTTACGTATAAAACTCATAGAAAATGGACATGAGGCTAACAATATTTAGTTTAGGGCAAGAGGGTAAGACTTCAGACAAACCTTCTTCACTGCAGCATCAATGTTTTTTTTTTGTTCATAGCCAACTGTAAATGTAACAAGATATCTTGGCTTGGTGATCAAGTCCTGCAGAACAAGTAAACACAACTAAGCAAAGGGATGCAAGATGTAGCCTATTTATAATAATAATTTTTTTTGGAAAAAAAGCAAGGGGGAGACAAGATAAGGCCCTAACAATGGGAATCCACACATAATGCTCAAATTGAAAAGAATTGATCATAATGGTCAGCCTCATTTTTAGGATCACTCTTACAGTCTTACCAGATTATGCATTCACAATTTTCAAGTAGGAAATGAAGAGGGAATAGTCAAGAACATTGTAGATGGTGGTATACTTATTCCTTCAGCAAATTTGTCCATGTTTTCTATTCAAGCTTTTTGATGTACTGAATATTAACTTCAAAGGAAACTAATTTTCTTTAAAGTTCACTTTTCATTATTTTAACATAATGTTCAAGTAAACAACCATAATCCTTAATATAGTGAGAGTTATTTGATATCTAGATGACTACTCTAGCATATATCAAGCTATGGAAGAAAACACAAACCTCACTGGGTAGGCCCCAAAGTCGTCGAGGGTAAAGATCAGTTTCAGCTGTAACAATGTCTGGGGGTAGCCTCTCGGCACCTCGGGGATTTGTCGGAACCCAAATCTGTAACATCATCACTAAGAACATGAGAGCAACACGAGACAGGTGATTCACTGAATCACTCTTCCAAGAAAACATGTGTTCATCTCATGTAAGAGCAATAAGATAGCTTTTATCAGTAACACTGCTGCTGACCCTCAATACCTCAACTTATTGATGACATTCAGAATCCAAGAAATGCCCTTGCAAACACATACTACATTTGATTTGATTGATGAATTACCTTTGTACTATTGTCTTTGACAGAGCCACCTCTGGTGCCCTTCAGGGAAGATAAGACATTTAACAAAGCTTGAGTTGAGAGACCAGAGTACTTGTCCTCTATATAATTAAGATCAATGGAAGGGAACAGACTTGATGGCAAGTTCATCTGCGAATAAGAAACCTCAAAACGTAAGACCCTAAGATCAGAACAAACATTTACAAGCTAAACAGCCACGAGCAATCGGCTTACTTTTGTCAATGACAGTGCGGGGAAGGAAACACCTAAGAAGAACCCAAATACAATCCCAACAAAAGTTGTTACTACAAGCCTCATAGTTTCATTGGGTTTTCTACCAGTTGAGCTGCAGCCAGAGAATAACATAAAATTAACAGTTCAATTCCAGTTTCATCAGCAAAATCACTGATCTCATATGGGAAGATATGAAACAGCAACTTAAGCAGTTCAAACTCACCTGCGGAGAGGTGTCCCCATCTTGGCAAAAAAGTCACAGAAAAACTCTCGGAATCACAAACGCAGAAGCTCCAAACAACCCCAGAGACATCTGCTTTTAATAGATCAGCTTTCCCAGATTCAAGCCTAACGAAAATCAATGCCTGCCCTCCATTGTAGTTGGGAACACCTCCACCCTAGAAACCAAAAAAGTCAAAAATTGAAACCAAACATCCTGTACATTCACGATGAATACCACTCAAATAACTAACCCACATTTCATTTGTCCCAGTTTTCTTCCCCCCAACTTATTTTCCCTTTCGGAAAAACTTATTCCGTACGGTCCGTTCTACTAAACACTCCAACAATTCCACCCATTTCACATCAAACATAAAAAAGATGCACAGTAAACTACGAATGCTCAATAGAAATCGATGAGTCCAGTAACAAACTCCAGAATCTTAACCTTGCAACTTGTTGAGCAGAAACTCGAACCGCCGGCCAATCCGATGCCGCTCAAAACGGAGAAGAACGAAGCTTCAGTTGATTGGAAGTTCAAAGTGCGATTTAAGAAGCAGCAGTACAAGCCTGAGAACAGAGTAAACAATGGAATGTCGGAAGTATCGAAGAACGAGATTTTCTCCTTTTTTTTCTCTCTCTCTTTTGCTTTCGCAGAGATTTGCGTAGTTAATGACGCTCCGTTCAGATTTCTGATGAGATTAGAAGAGAAGTCTTCGTCGGTGCGACTCCGGCCACGATTTTATGTCGGACACTATTCTTGCTATTTGTTTTTTGTAGTTTTTAAAAAACAGCGTACGGTGCCGCTCTGGCCTCACTGGACCCCACTTGGAATGTCAATTTTAATAGGAAAATTATACATAGACTCACAAAAGAGTAAAATGTAAAAACCCTCGTGACCGTTATGATTTCATTGATAGAAAATAAATGACATATTTCCTTCATTTCATTTAGTGTGATTCAATCATTGATTGCAATTATTTTTAATTTAATTTTTTATAATATTCTTTCAAACTTTCACCTCTATGACCCGTTGAACTGTTCATGTGGATAATTTTTTATAATATTAAATTTAGTATTAGCATACAAAATTTATATATTTATAAATTATAATAAAGGTATTATTAAACACACAAAAAATCAAATTTAAAAATAAGAAATAATTGACTTGACCAATGAATAATAAATATGACAAATAAAATGGAACAACAAAAGTATTAATTTTTTTTTAAATGCTACTGACTCTATTACAGTTGCTCTCCACTAAGGTTCAATCTCATGACCTCCTACATAGGAGAGGTCATTACATGTAATCTAAGCACAAAGTGCTTGGCAACGAGAGTATTAATTTAAATCAATTAACTGTGATTTTTTTTTTGATTGACTATTTCTACAATGTGAACCTTATCTATAGCACACATTCAACTACAAAAAAAAAAAATTACTCAAAAAGTTTTCTAGATGAATCAAAGCAGATCATCAGAGTAAATAATAAAAACTAGAGTAAAAGTAGTGAGGGATGATATTATGTTTATAAATAATAAACATGCAATTATTATTTTATTTATAAAAATGACATTAGTCATTAGGTATTGT